ATGAAGATATAAAGACCGCCTTAGCTCTTGCGATGTTTGGGGGCCAAGAGAAAAATGTTGAAGGAAAACACAGACTGAGAGGAGACATAAATATTCTCCTGCTAGGTGATCCGGGCACTGCAAAATCACAGTTCCTCAAGTAAGTAGAGATCTAGAATGACCTGATTTTGAATCTATGAATACTGTAATCACCATGCACACCTTTCAGGTACGTAGAGAAGACAGGACAGCGGGCTGTCTATACAACTGGAAAAGGAGCTTCTGCTGTAGGGCTTACGGCAGCAGTACACAAGGACCCTGCCACTCGGGAATGGACCCTTGAAGGAGGAGCACTAGTTCTGGCCGATAGAGGAATCTGTTTGATTGACGAGTTCGATAAGATGAATGATCAGGATAGGTATGCAAATCTGATAGCTGTGCACTTTTAGCCGCTCTTCCGTACATCATTTTCTGGTTATAACATTCTCCTGCTTCTCTTATTCCTCTCATCATTTATGTATTTTTGGTTTAGAGTGAGTATTCATGAAGCAATGGAACAGCAGAGTATAAGCATATCGAAGGCTGGCATTGTCACATCTCTCCAGGCCCGCTGTTCTGTTATTGCTGCTGCAAATCCTATTGGAGGAAGGTATATGAGAACTGAATATTGATGGATTGAGAAATAGGATGATTGTGTAGTCCTAACTGTAGACATTTCCTTCTAAGTTGATGTTACTACTTGTCAGATACCAGCTATTAGGCACCACCTTGGAACTCTAGCTTACTCCCTGCATTATAGCTGTGGTTTCGCTACATCTTTGATCGCCAGATCTTGGCTTCCTTCTTAACATTTGCTTAATCTATGCATTAATTTTAGGTTTCCATTTTCTTTTGCTGTACTGCAAGTGCATAACATTTCCTGTCTTTAGCCTTGCTACCTCACATTCACATAATCCAATCCCAACCCATGCTTTTGAAGTTCTAATGTGCAGATACAATTAGGTAGAATCAAGTATTCTGCTTTCTGGAAGTCGTTATTTATCGTATAAAGCAACTTATGCTCTAAAGTTCGTCTTTTTCTGACATTTCTTTCCTGTTTTGGTTGAGTGACTTTTTTCTCTTAATTTCGTTCTTGTAGATATGATTCCTCGAAGACTTTGACGCAAAATGTTGAATTAACAGATCCAATCATTTCTCGCTTTGATGTACTCTGCGTGGTCAAGGTTATATTCCTCATTCTGTTGGAGCCATGTCACATCTGATGTAGCTTTTCCATCAGCAACTTTTGACCTGAAGGGAATTGATTATGTGCAGGATGTGGTTGATCCAGTCATAGACGAGATGCTTGCAAAATTTGTAGTTGATAGTCATTTCAGGTCACAAGCAAAAGGTGCTACTTTAGATGAGAAATCCTTTACTGATTCACGGGATGATGCCCGTGCTGCTATGGCCCCAACTGACCCTGAGGTTGTCCTTGTAGCTCGTTTTTTGACTATTTGTTTGAACATTATGGTTTTTTAAAACCTGTACAAGTTTTCCCCCCGCAGATAATTCCTCAAGAGTTGCTAAAGAAGTACATAACTTATGCAAAGTTGAATGTATTCCCGAAATTGCACGATGGGGACTTGGACAAGCTCACACAGGTTTATGCTGAATTAAGGAGAGAATCTTCGGTGAGATTGTCATTCGTTGAACCTTTTTTCTTGGACTATTTAAAGTATGCTAATTTAAACTTTTTATTAATGAGGCATTCTCTTACGTATTATTCCATGTGCATGTACAGCATGGACAAGGAGTTCCCATAGCAGTGAGGCACATTGAATCCATGATAAGGATGTCTGAAGCCCATGCAAGAATGCATCTTAGACAACATGTTACTCAAGAAGATGTGGACATGGCAATTCGTGTCCTCCTAGATTCATTTATATCAACTCAGAAATTCGGGGTGCAAAAAGCTTTGCAAAAGGTAATAAATCAGCACTCTTACTGCTTGTCTCGCATGTTAGACCTCTACATAAGACATGATCGCTTTACCCTTTACCACAAAAGGTTCAGCTTAGGTTTCTTTTTTCTGCATTCCTTACTTTTGGTAATGCTTATATATCTGTTGATCATTTTAATTTGGAGGACGGGATAACAAAATCTCCTCCAGCAAAACCCTCCTAGAACCAAATATTTAAAGTTTCCCTGCTTTCATGACAAGATTCATCTGATTGAAGTAGTATCAGTGCTCTAATTGAAGCACTATCGGTGTTCTAAACGTAGTGAACGTTTCTTTGACCAAAATAACTGAGAATGGACCTATATGTTCTCGAGAGATTTTACACTTTATCTCACAAAACCTTTGGACATGTGGTGGGGTCTCAATTGTTCCAAATGAAAGAAAATAAACAAAGAAAATGTCTTTCTATTGCACAGTAAGGAAAAAATGAATGATGCAACTCCCAAAATTTTGGTATTCCAAATAAAGGGAAATAACTAATGTAGTCGAGCTAGCTATTAAAAAAATTGAGTTCCAACATTTTATCAGAGACTTTACATATATTTTCAATTTTAATTCCTCTTTTATGTCTGGTGTCTTAGTCAGTTGCTTCTCTGAATTAATTAGGTTCCTCTCTAAATTTAGTCAGGTGGTTGTTCAATTAGAGATGTAGCCACTAAATGGTTTACTTTGAGCTTCTGCCACGGCCATTATTTGAGATATAATAGTTTAGGACCCAGAGTTCTTTACTAATACACTTTTTTTTCTTTGTTTATTTGATCAATTTTGAGTGACAACAATTTACACCCACTTTCTACATGTCAAATAAAGAAACTTGTCCTAAGTTGACCATGTCAGACTTTCCATCTGTTCTGATGCTAGATGTGTGTGTTGGTGATACATTCATATGCCCTGGTAATAGTTCTCAGTAGAGTCAGTTGAAATAGCTTTGTATTTTCATGCAGAGCTTCAAAAAGTACATGACATACAAAAAAGATTTCAATGCTATCATTCTTCACCTCCTACGTGGGCTTGTAAACGACGCAATGCAATTTGAGGAAATTGTTTCGGGTTCTACTGCCAATCTAGACCATATTGATATCAAAGTGGATGAGCTTCAAAGCAAGGTAATTATACTTGCAATGCCTTATCTTCCCAAGATACTGAAGCATGATCTTTATCTGTTAGTTCCCAAAGTGCGCAACTGGTTGCTAATCCATTTCCATACTAAAATCCGCGCAGGCACTTGATTATGGCATTACTGATCTCAAAGCATTTTTCACAAGCAATGACTTTTCTAAAGCGAACTTTGAGTTGGACAAGGAACGAGGTATAATAAGGCATAAAAGGGCATCGTCTTAAAGCTTGATGATGGTGGTATATGTTGCAGTGTTTCAAGATTTGTATTAGATACATGATATATCTGTGTTTCAGATTTAGTCATGGCTGGTTAATCCTGTGGTTTAATTTAATTGTATTCTCGAATTGTATACAAACTAAGCTCTGATATTTAACTTAATTTTCCATACAACGCCCAACACATGGAAGTTAGTTGCAGCCTTGTGGGCAGTTGTCTACACAAGAATGTGTTCTTTGGTTTCAATTGTATCAAGAGAAATCAATTTGATTTGGTAAAATGAAGTTCTTTTTGGCAGTATGACAGTTCCTTTATAATTTCTAGTTGAATTACTCAATGTCATCTTAAATTTTAAAAATAAACGTAATATAATGAATGTTAATTATGAGGGTAAGGCAGTTTCCTGCATAAGATATGGATTTCAACTCCACTTAATTATCCAGATCTTACTTCAAATCCAATTCTCCAGTCCTAAATCCTAATAGCATAAGCATGTTTTCCAAAATAAGAAGAAAAAAAAAATTCCAAAACCTAAAACAAAAGATTCTCATAAACAAATCCCATTTAACATATAAGTTGTAAGTTGTAACCTTGCAACCTTCATTAGCAAGGTATGTCTGATTAAATCGACAAAACACTCCATTCATTTCAATTTATATGATGTAGTTTAATTCAATAAAGTTTACGGCAAAGGGTCTGATATGCCCCTCTACTATCATCGATAGTTTAAATAAGCCCTCCGTTATACTATTAGAGCAACCAAGCCCCTGACGTTATACTATTAAACACAAATACCCTTATTTTAATAGATGGGCCACGTGGCAACACCAAAATCATCCAGTTAGATTTAGCACAGATCCGACCCAACCCATTACCCAAACCGATCCAACCCTTCTCTAAAATATGGATTGTGACAGACCATTTGGTCAATTTCCCCTTTTTCTTTTCACTCTCTCGAAGATCTAAGAGACCAGCGGTAGTGGTGACTCCAAACTGCCGATTTCATATGATCTTGGTGTAAAATCAGTCTTTTCTTCATTAAATTGCTTGATTTTAGTATTTGTTGAACGGTTTTGCTGATTGCTTGTTATATTATTCTCATTTTTGTGGTCTAAGGTTTTGGTTTGGACAACATCTAAGCTTTATTATAATTTATAATTTATTTTCTTGTAGTTGTTGCATGTTTCAGTTTTAAGGTGGTCCCGATTTGTAGTGGTTGCATGCTTTAGTTATGCTAATAAATTCGTATAGGTATATATCAAGGTGGATTTATTGTCTTCTGGTTTAGGATTTTTTCTCAGAGGTGGTTTCTTAAGTGTATTATGATTTGTTTTTTGTCTTACCGGGAAAAATGCCTGAATTTTCTATGATGTTGACACAGTTTTAGTGCTTTTTCTTTGTTTATTAGCTAAGGTGGTCCTAAATGTAGGACCCTTGAATGCAACTGCTTCATTAAACTATTCTGGTGGTTGGATTTTAGTGCATCTTTGCTCTCTTTGTCAATTTTTTATGAAGGGGTGACCAACTTTTTGTGGATTCTTTTGTACATATTGTATTTCTTTATTCATGGGACCCTCTGTCTCACATGTCATTTTCTGCCTATATTTGTTCCTCTTTTTTTCTACTTTCAGCTTATATTGGTTCATTTACTATTTGCTAACCATTCTTATTTGCCATATTTACTAGATTATTGGAGATGATCTTAGTTGATTTAATATTCAATTATGAAGGTGAATGAGTTACACATCCTGAAGTTGTGTACACAACGAATAAATTGCACACATTGTCAGGGTATGTTTCAGACTTGCTTTCTTATATAGATATAGAATCTGAATTTATAGTTGAGCTAGGGTTTGTAGGGGTTCAACAACTTATAGTTGCCGGACCTTCTGGTAAATTGTATGAGGTTTAAGGGGATGTGGGGATTAGACAGCTGGTATCCTTGCTTTCTAATGAATATAATGTAGTGAACCTATATGTTGTGGATGAATGTGACACCCCTATTGAGTGTATTCCCAGTATTGTTGATTATAGAGAATCATATCCTTGTTTAGACGAGGCTGGTACTGACTGTAGCTTAAGTGAATTAGGAACCGACTCTAATTCTGATTCTGAGGGATGTGATTCTGAAGAATTACATTTACTCCAAACACACACAAAAAAGACATAATTGAGAATTTGAATGATTACAAGGAGATATATAAATGCATGGCCTTTAAGGACATACCAGAAGCTAGGAAGTTTATGAAGTTGTATGCTCTAGCCAACAAGAAAGTCTTAAAATTGAGGAAGAGTGACCCAATGAGGGTTAGGTATAGATGCATTGTGGGTTGTCCCTTTGTTTGTTTAATATTCAAAGATGGTAATGCAGGGTTACTGTAAAGACATTAGAGTCAGAACATAATTGTGGCAATGCATATAATAATAGTACTGTTGATTTCAATACCATTGCACATTACTTTAAGGGAAAGTTACAGGATAATCCTAAGTATAAGGTAAGGGAGATGGTACTTGATTTGAAAAGAATTTTTGAGTTAAATGTGAGTCATGGGAAGTGCAAGTGGGCAAAAAGAATGATATTGGAGACCTTAGATGGGAGTTTTGCAGATGAGTACAACAAACTTGATGCTTATGCCATTGAATTGAGGGAGAGTAATCCAGGCAGTGATATAGTGATTAACATTTCAAAAAATGCACTTGAAAATGGGAAAAGAAGATTCTTGAGGATACATGTTTGATTCAAAGCTATGAATATGGTTTTCAAGTTAGGGTTAAGATCATTCATTAGTGTAGATGACACATTTTTAAAAGGGAAAGCCAATGGTCAATTGCTAGTTGCTGTTGGACAGGATGCACAAAACCACTTTTATCCTTTGGCATGGGATGTCGTTGATAAAGAGAGAAAGCATTCTTGGAACTGGTTCCTACAATTGCTTCAGGGATCTATAGGCCTTAAGGAAGGAGAAGGAATCACCTTCATGTCCTACATGCAAAAGGTAATGTTTCTGAATTTTTCTTCTTTCTGTTATCATCTACTTCTGTCCAATTTTTGTTTCTAGATTTTTTCCTTTCTGTTGTCATCTATTTCTGTCCAGTTTTTGTTTTTGAATTTTATTTTCTTTCTGTTGTCATCTACTTCTGTCCAGTTTTTGTTTCTGACGTTTTTTTTTCTTTCTGCATGTTTTTTGAATTTGTTATAGGGATTAATTAAGACAATTAAAATTATTCTACCACAAGCACATCATAAGTTTTGTGTTAGACATATCGAGGCTAACTGGTGCAAGACATACAATACTAGGGAAAGCAAAAAACTGCTTTGGTGGTGTTCATGGTGCACTTATGAAGAAGACTTCAAAGGCCAACTAAGCAAGCTAGGAGAGTTGAACAAGGATGCAGCAGAGAGTTTATTGAAGTACCCACCACCATCTTGGTGTAGAGATTATCTAGATACAATTTGCAAGAATCAGTCAGTTGATAACAATTTGATTGAATCATTTAATTCATGAATTTTGGAAGCAAGGCAAAAGCCAATCATTAATATATTGGAAGACATTAGACTCAAAGTTATGAACATGATGACAAAACATGAAGCTGAAGCTAGTATATGGAGCAATGAGTTCAGTCCAAAAAGCCTAGAACTATACAATGAATTCATGGAGATTGCTCAAGTGTATAAAGTTAATTTCAATGGAGAAGGAGGATATGAAGTTAGTGAAGGGTCTGACAAGCATTGTGTCAACTTAAGCATAAAGAAGTGCACTTGTAGGGCATGAGACCTTACATGAATCCCATGCCCCCATGCTATTAGAGCTATACTTCACAACAGGGGTGACCCTTTGACAGAGATGCACCGGTGGTACAGTAAGGAGGCATTTCTACTTACTTATAGACACAATCTCCAACCTTTTAGAGGAGAATTTTTTTGGAAAATTGACCCATCACAAGCAATGGAGTCCCTAGAGTTGGTGAAGTTGGCTGGCAGGCCAAAAGTTAAAAGGGATAGACAGAAGAATGAGGCAGTTAAAAGGCAAGGAGTGTGGTCACAATCCAGAAAAGGTAGAGTCACGACTTGTGATAAATGTGGACAATTAAACCATAATGCAAGAACTTGTGCTCAGATTATCTACAATTTGCACATATACTGAAATTGTACCTATTTATGTTTTCTAACTTTATTTTTTAATAGCAACCAAAGGGAAAACAACTAAGCAAGGGAAAACAACCTTTCAAAAGAACAAGAACTTTGTTAGATTCTGAAATAGAAGATGAAATACACTGTTCAGCACTGCAAATGACTCAATCAAGTCAGGAAAATGGATTTAGCTTCATGCCTATACCTAGAGTTGTTGAATCAAGTATGGTTCCAAATTTTCCAAAGATGGAACATGATGAAGATATTGTGGTTAGGCCAATGGTGATATTAGAAGTCAAGACAAGACTTCAACTGAGGTAGCAAGTAAACTTACTAGCTGGGACAAGATCAATCAACTTTACTGGTGATCACACTGGTATTAGTGAGCCCACAAATCTTCCATATTCACCAGCAGTCTTGATGTGGAAGGGTAAAGCAGCTATAACTTCAAATCAGTTAGAAATACAAAGGCAACAGAAGATTGAGAAGCTGAAGATAAGAAAAGGAAAATGATCAAGTTGTTCTATGTAGTTTTGTGTTTACTTTGGGATGTAATTACTGCAAACTTAATGACAGTCTCCTGTTTAATATTCTGTTAATATTGGTATTGGTAATTGAATTGGATGTCATAGTATGATTTAGGTTGTGTTAGTTTTTGGGATTATAGTTTGACATCCAATCATCAGTTTCACTTACTAACTTTACTATTTTTGGTGATATGTAATTACTGCATTGACAGTACTTCTGATATGTAATTACTGCGTTGGTGATAACTGTCCAGATTTTACTGCATTGTGATATGTAAAATAAATTTACTGCATTAGAGTGATGCCCAGATTTTTATTGTTAGTGAATTGCCTAGTTTTTTTACTGCATTAGGGTCGGTATTTTGTTCTTAAGTTGTTCTGTACAGAACTTCATGTTATGTACTTACTGCATCATAGACTGAATTAACTGCATTAAAATGGATGCCGAGATTTTTACTGTTAGTGAACTGCCTAGTTTTACTCTGCATTATTCTATTAAACTGGACCGTAACATACCATATAAAGAACTATATTTAGTGATTACAATCAAGCTGACCAACACAATAAATTTGAAAATGAAAGGTATACTGCACTACACAAAATGCCATATGCACTACACAAAATGCATTCATGAAAATCTGGATTTTACAACATTTAACTTCATCAAAACCCTACCGCACTACAGAAAATGCAAAATTCATTTCATCAACAATGCCACAATAAATCCGACTAACAATGCAAATGCAACCATAATGAACATCTTCATGTGCATCACTTTCACTTCCCTCTCCATTGCTTTATTCACTTTAACATCATTTATAGCCTCCAAAACATCAACTTTTTTCCATCAATTTGTCCTTTTTAAGCTTGCATGCATCCAACAACATATTCAGCGTCCTGATTTTGACATTGGCAGCATCTAATTAAGACTTGAAATTGTTGATTACTATCAACACTTTGTCCGAGAGGGCTTCGTCGTGCCATTCCCAATATCCACATGACTCGTTCTTACAAATACATTCAATAACTATGTTAAATAGCAGAAAAAATAAAACTTTAAATGTATCGACGAGTAATGAATCAACAACGAAATTCACACTTACTTCAGGGTAAGCACACTTGTAGAATCTCCTTCCGGATTTGTTTGTAGTCATCGAAGTGAAGTTGTTCGCAATCTCCCCACAGTAGCACCTTCTTCTCGATGTAACACTAGAATTAGACATTGAACCAAGACTATCTGATGTGTTGGTCGAAGAAGAACAAAGAAATTTGAATGAGAAGTTATAGCATTTGAGTTGTGGGAGAGAGGGAGGGACATCTGCAAATATGAGTGAACAAATTAGGGTTCATACATTAATAAGGGTGAAGGGTCTAATATTTTAGGGTCGGATTGGGTAATGGGTTAGGCCGAATCTGTGCTAAATCTAACCAGATGATTTGGTGTTGACACGTGGCCCATATGTTAAAATAAAGGTATTTGTATTTAATAGTATAATGGCAGGGGTTTGGTTGCTCTAGTAGTATAACAGAGGGCTATTTAAATTATTGATGATAGTAGAGGGACAGATTAGACCCTTTTCCGTAAAGTTTATTACAAAACAATAACAATAATAATCCAGTGAAATTCTATTAGTGGGATCTGGAGAGGGTAGTGTGTACGTATACCTTACCCCTACCCGAGGAGTAGAGAGGCACAAAGTTTATTACAAAGGAAACAAAAATTTTCAAAATTTGTGATTTTAAATATGTACTAATAACATAGGACTATAATACTTTTCAAATTTATGTACATTAAACATGTCATAATATTAGTGTCACTACAAAAACTTCTTTTTAAAGTAAAATAAGAAGTTAAATATAATTTTAGGCAACTTACTATTAAAAATATTTTTAAAAAGTGTAATAAAATATTTTAAAGTAGGTCGCCTTTGGTACAAGCGACCTACTTATATGAAAAACGCACAACAAAAAACAAGTAGAAAAGTCTACTGATCGGCTGCAACGGAGGGAGAAGTAAGAATTGTAAAAGAGAGAGAGGCAAATTCAACGGAGTTCACTTTCAAATTCGCCAACTTCTTACTATATATAGCGAAAGAAGGATTGATAAAAGAGGAAGGTGAAAAATGGGGAAGGGGAAATGGGTAACAATAGCAGTGGTGGTAGCGATAATAGCAATAACAAAGGCATTAAGCAATCAACTGGGTTTCGAAAAAGACGCAGCAATCGAATGGTTAAAGCAAATGTCAGATCGATTAGGTAATTGGGCGATCCCTGCATATGTGGGTCTTCATACAGTTACATTAGCCCTGTGCTTGCCTTACGCTGTTTTCTTTGAAGCTGGCGCTTCTCTTCTATTTGGATTCTTCCCAGCTGTTTTGTGCGTCTTTTGTGCTAAAATCCTTGGTGCTTCTCTCTCTTTCTGGATCGGCAGGTAACTCTCTCTCTCTCGTTGGCCTATGTGTTTTCATTTTTCAGCTTGAGACAAATACTATTATATTGAGAACTTGTTATATGTGTAGGGGTAGGTGTGAGATTTACATAATCCTTGATTTGCCTTAAGAAGATTTTTTGGTTTGGGAATGAAAATGGGTTAGAGGATTAAAATAGTGGAGCTAACTGATTTGGGGTTGGGGTTTAGTTGACTGATTATAGAGGAATCGCAGCAGAGGTAAAGAATACTGGGTGATTTCTTCCCATATGTGTAAGCCTTGGTGGATTAAGTTATCTGGTATCTGTGCTGGTAGAAGTTACCAGGTGGAATAGTTAGGGATCGTTTGGTACATGGATAAGGATAATAATCCCGGGATAGAATTTGGGATTAACTTTATCCCATGTTTGGTTTGGGGTATTAGCTAATTCCAGGACAATTATTACACTGAAATGGTGGGGTATTAACTAATCCCATGGGCGTGGGATATCGTGAGATATTCCACCATTATACCAAACGACCCCTTAAGGCGCACAAGCTGGTCCTGACACCATTGTTATTAAAAACAAGGAAAAACGAGAGTAGATACTCGTGAATTTGTTTGCTTAATTGAGAAAGATTGTTTGGGGTTTGGAATACCATTTGCCAGTTGAATTGTGTATTTTGTCTACTAGAAATCATAGGGGATTTGTGATTTGGGTGGTTGATTGATTTAAGAGACAAGATATTCATGAACTTGGTTTTCGAAATTCATCAAGCCATCTAGGTTTCCCAATTTCATTTGACTGCCGAATTGTATGCTTTGTCTACAATAAATTATATCATTTCCTTCTCGTGAGTCAAAATGAGGAGATAAAGTTAAGAATGGTGAAAAGGGGTTTCATCATAAAGTTGTTTGTAGTGCTATCTGTACTTATTTAGTGAACTTCATAACACAATTACAGGGTTTAGGACAAACATACTGGATTCGGCTGAACTTGTAAGTTGCCTTCTAGCTTCGCCCTTGGACCTTTTTAGTTGATTATAGGCAACCGGTGCACAAAGCATCCCCCGTTCACGCAAGATGTGGGGAGGGTAGCACCCCAAAGAGGTGTAATATTGCAGCCTACCTTAATGCAAGCATCAGTGCCAATTGATTTATGCTGTTTGAAAACAAAATCGGAAAAAGTCTTAGCATTTTTGTTGAAGGAAAGGCAGTAAACTGTCATTATAACATATGTTAGTTGCTACAGTAGAATTGTTTTCCTGTTTGAATCATGGAATATTCGAATTCTGATTTATGGAAGATTTTTTTTTATTGAAATTCCCAAATTTTGAAGGTATTGTTTAAAGCTGCAGCCTGAAGGATGTACCCAATACTAAAAACAGAGTGATGATATCAATTATTTTCACTCTTTAGATAAGTAAATCAAAAGGAAGAATTTGAGAGAAAGCTGCTTGGAGGTAAAAAGAACTTTTAGGGGAATAAGATAAAGTCCTCAAGTGGTCTTTTGATTGGTTAAGCATTTAAAATTTTCATGTGGACTCATTTGGAAACATCATTTGGTATTTCCATTCGAGATTGCTAGAACTTGGGGTAAATAGGTAGCTTTTGATGAGGAAAGGAAATATAAGGGAATAAAAGAAGAGTGGGTAGGGGCTAGAAAAAGAGAAAAAGAAGTAACAGAGCAAGAAAAGAAAGATTAGTGAGAAGAGAGGGGGAAAAAGATCGTAATGATCTCGAGTTTAAAAGAATTCAAGTGCTTAAGTGATCACAAAAGAATATTCAAGGACTTAAATGTCAATTTCCTATAGGATTAAGTGCCTTTATAGTGTTTTGCCCTCAGAAGTATTCAGCTAGTTCATTTGGTGGCAGTGGCAGATCTGTAGCTTGACCATGTGTTGCTTTAAACTTACTGTGTTTTCAGGTATCTCATGGTATACAAGGATGAGCCACAGTGACATGCTAGAGGTCTGCATAAAGTGCTCTTATAGTTGGTGAAAAACTTATTCATAGGTCTCTAAAGGAGTGATCCTCTAGATTCTTCTAACTGGCATGCTAGATTAAACCATGGAATAAGAAAGTGAAGAAGGCAAAAATGTTGCTGACGGAAAATGAACTACATTCGTGTAAGGATGTAAACAATGGGACAGAGCAAATAAAAATGGGGGAGGGGGACCTTACTAAGTGTTTGGCTGTTTGTGTTAAGAAAAGACTAACTTACTAATCAAAAAAGATGTAGGGAGGGGGACTTGTAATAAAAAAGGTGGGGAGGGGTGTTTTAAGTGCGATCATTTTTTTTGGGGGGTGGGGGTGGGGGGTGTTAAATCAAGAAGTGGGATCAGCTCAATAACAACTTAATTTGTTCTTAAGCAGATAAACAACCTGATGTGGAGGAGTTGGAGGTGGTATTGGTATGAGAAGAGTTTATTTCTGATTTGACTACTTTGTTTCCATTAACTGAAACCACAACGTACAAATTTAAACTGGAAGGCTCAGCCTTTTCTTTCATCTCTCACTCCTATGGACAAAGGAAAATATACTATAGTGGTTGTATTTCAGAAATTCAGGTGACGAGATTGTCTATCTGTTCCCTTTCCCTTCTTTTAAGCTTGTCCTTCTGCTTAAGCGAAATAAGTGTATTGTATCTCAGGAGGTGTATGTTCAAGCTGTTCATCCAAAGCAGCCTTTGGTTCGGTTTATGAATGTTAATTTATTAAATGGTGTAGATATTTCTCTCCCTCTCTGGATTTTTTCGATTGCAGTTCTGATATTGTACTTTCCCAGGTTCGTGTTTCGGAGTTCCAGCTCTGCTATTGGGTGGGCGCAAAATAACAAATACTTTCATATACTCTCAAGGGGTGTTGAACGAGATGGATGGAAATTTGTTCTTCTTGCCCGTTTCTCACCTATACCTTCTTATGTCATCAACTATGCCTTGGCAGCCACCAAAGTTAGGTTCTTCTTGGATTTCCTGCTTCCAACAGCAATTGGCTGCCTTCCCATGATCTTGCAGAATACTTCTATCGGCAGTCTTGCTGGTGCTGCTGTATCCTCTGGCTCTGGATCTAAGGCATCCAATTTACGGTCATACATCTTTCCTCTTCTTGGGATCTTAGCGAGTATCCTCATATCTTTGAGGGTGAAAAAGTACTCCAAGGATATCTCAGTCGCTGAAACAGTTCCTACGGAGGATAATGACAACAATAGATTGTCTGAACGGCAAAAAGGAAAAGGCTCAAAGAAACGGTGATTTCATCTATAGGTTTTGCATTCCTTCTTTCCCTCTTTAATTTCCCCCTGATGGTGGTTGAAAGGGAGGATGTATCGAGCTGGCTGTCAAAGCCCATGGTCTGGTTGCTGCTAATGTAAAGGTAAGAAAAGGAATTGGTATGAGACGATGATGTTTTTTTCCAAAGAAGAGGTTGACAATCTTTTTGCTTCGCTTCTAGAGGCAGAAAATGCTCTGTTTTATGCTGGCTGATGTTTCAGCCAATTTCGTTAAATCTTATAGCCATCTTCCTGTGTTATGGTCAAGAAATTTGATGTTTGTGCGTAGGTAAATTCAATATTTACAACCCAAAGAAACAATATGACTGACCTTGGAAACTGATTTGCTAATTAAAGCTTAATAGATAAATGGTTACCATTCTTCCCTTCACTGTGCATTTTGTTTCACCTTGTAGAAAGCAGCTTGAATGATATAGGTAAGGATGTATCATATCATTTTCATTGTGGTCTTTACAATATAGTTTGTGTTCTTATGTACAATCGGTTATGGGTGAAACAACAACAATGGTTTAGGGAGGGAGGGTGGGCTATACGCAAACCTTATCCCTACCTTGTGTGAGGTAGAGAGATTGTTTTTGATAGATCTTCGGTTGGAGAAAATCATTTTCAAAACAGGTTTGAAAATTCAAGGGTAAAAAGGTATTGCCAGCAAAATAGTAAACCTAACCAAAATAAAAGAAGCAACAATAGTAATAAATCTGGAAAATAAGATAATAATAGAATATTAATAATATAATAATAGTAAGCACGCAGCCTTACCCCTACATTTATGTAGGTAGCGAGGCAATATCGATGATTGGTGGAACAAAAAGGGTAATCTTTAGTAGCTGTGTGTTCTTGATTGTTTGGTTCCTTTAGTCTAGGACCTTCTTTTAGGGGCCCGTTTGGCCATAAAATTTTTCCACTTTTTTTCAGTTGAATTTCGGAATTTTTCGAAAATTTGAAAAATTCCAAAAAAATTATTTTTCAAATTTTTCGCATTCAAATACTATTTTCTCTTTGAATTATTTTTTCCGAAATTTCACAATTCTGATGTCCAAATGCCCACTAAGTAATTTCTGCCAACATAAATTATGCTGCAAGTAGTTAGAGAAGCACAAGTTCTAAAGACAATTAATATATCTCTAAAAGAATATGTAATATGTGGTATGCAGTCTCTTTCAAGTTAGGACTTTGGCATGCAACTTCTAATTAATTGCAAGACAAGATAATGTATTGTTAATTGATTTCCATTTTCTTGTCTTGCAGTTGCAATTGCTAAAGATTCTTTATCTCTAATCATGCATAGTTGAGGCAAAACTCACACGAGCAGATGAAAATGTCAGTGATTAACCATTACTTAATCCATCTTTTATCGGGGGCGAGCAAGAAGCCCGCATGCAAGTTCGGTTGAATCCAATAATTTTTGCTCAAATACTGTATAAAAGTTCATTAAATATATACAAATATTGAATTTAGAATTCCGTTATTAGTACTTGAATTAGTCGTTTTAAAATTTAAAACCCATAAAGTTAAAATCCTAGATCCCCTGCCTTTTATCTTTCTTTCTTTTTTCTCTCTTGATTCCTCAATTATCTCTAATTATATTATTATGATTAGATTTACAGTCGACACATGACTCCTTTCCTGGTTGTTCAGCTGCGCTGCTCGCACTTATTAATTAGGCACATATCCATGACTAAAATACCACTTTTATATGTTAATCATATGTGAGATTCGCGAAGAGTGATCGGTTACAAGTACAGGCGGAGCCAGGATTTCAAAGTTATGGGTTTTGGATTTTAAGACCACAATTTCAAGTATTACTAATTGGATTTTAAATTTAATATTTATAAATATTTCATGAAATCAAAACACCAAATATACTATTTAAGCAAAAGTTACTAAGTTCGGCCACCAAATCCGTAGGCCGGCTTGTGCCTCCACCCCTGATTACAAGTCCGGGTAGAGGAACGATACGATAGATTAACGACCAGTATAAATGTAGTATACTAATGATGAATACTCTGAATATTGAAACTTGTTAGAACATGCGCACCTAGGCTGATGTTAGTGGCGGAGCAAGATTTTCCCCAAAAAAGAATCAAAATATAGAAATTAAATGCAAGGACACCAGGTAGTCACTTTTAAGAGTGTTATTTAAAATATATCTACAGTTTACAATTGTCACACCTCTTTTTTCCTGAGGGGGATAGGAGAGTTTTTCCAGTGAAAGTGACATAAATCGAAATTGGATTATTTTATTTATTTCAGAGTCGCCACTTGGAATAGTTTTATGGTGTCCCTAGTCATCGGTTTATTTTAAATCCCAAATCGAGAAAATTGACTCTATTTTTGGTCCACGAACACAGAAGACCGGGTAAAGAATTCTGTTAACCTGGGAGAAGGTGTTAGGTATTCTCGGGTTCCGTGGTTCTAGCACGGTCGCTTAACTATCAATAATTGGCCTAATTATCTGATTTATTACATGTTTTAAACCTATTGTGCATTTTTAACTTTATAACCGCTTTTAATTATTTTAATCGTTTTTTAGGATTTATGGAATTATTTCTTGAACAAGTTACGATTGTCGTACACTTGCCGTTTTGGAACACGTTGCAAACCATGCTACACGAAATGCACCCGCGATTTGCGACATGTTTATTTTAGGCAAAATACCTTAAAACCTCCCTAAACTTGATACAGATTATTAGTTATAGCCTTAAACTATTCGTGGTCTTAATTACCTCCCTCAACTTGGCCTTTTGAGAGCAATTACCCCCCTGTACATTGATGTGGCAAAGAGTCTGGGTGCACTCGCCTGCCACGTGGATTTTTCTTGTATAAGTGGCATTTTTTTGAAAAAATAAAATACCTTTTGAAGTATATTACATTTTTAGATAATTTTTTCGAATACAATTTATAATAAAACTTGGATAAAACTATATTATTTAGGCTGTTTTTTTATTTGGCTAAAAATAATAAAATTTTAGTTATTCTTTTTTGAATTAGACCTGAAAATAAAGATTCATACAATTGAAATAAATACTCAAAGAATCTAAGAAGTTATAAAAAATACATAGTTTTGAATTAATTATTTTGGCTATAACTTTTTATATAGCTCTAAATTACAGTGCTCTAAAAATATAATTAATTATAGCCAAAATAATATGACAATCTGTAAAAGAAATATTCTTAGAGCACCCTAATTTAGAGCTATATAAAAAAATTATATCCAAAATAATGATTTCAAACTATGTATTTTTTTATAACTTTTTAGATGCCTTGACTATTTATTTAAATTGTATAAATCTTTATTTTCAGGTCAAATTTTTAAAAAGATTAACTAAAACTTTATTATTTTTAGCCAAATAAAAAAAATAGCCTAAGTAATATATCCGGGTTTTATTATAAACTGTATTCGAACAAAATTATTTAAAAAAGTAACATACTTAAAAAGGTAAAATATATATATTTTTCAAACAAATGCCACATATAGAGAAAATCCACGTGGCAGAAGAGTGCACCAATACTCTTTGCCACATCAGCATCCAAGGGGGTAATGACTCTCAAAAGGCCAAATTAAGGGGGGTAATTAAGATCATGAATAGTTTAAGGCTATAACTAATAATCTGTGTCAAATTTAGGGAGGTTTTAAGGTGTTTTGCCTTTATTTTATTATTGTTCGAAGTTGTTATGATCGGGTCATGTATACATGTGATTTTTGACCCTCCCCAAGATTTTACATATTTTAGCACTTAAATACTTTGTTTAGGCCTAATATAGTTACTTCAACTAATTTTGAATCTTTTACATTATTTTTATCACAAAATTAAAAAATACAAAAAAAAAATAGTTCCATATTTCTCTATTTAATTCACATTAAATATTTTTAGAAGGATATATTACTTTGAACCTATTTTTATTTTATATAATCTTCGAAAATGCCAAAATTAGTTTCATATTTTATATATAATTTAGTTTAATTAATCAGATTAATTTTTGCATTACGTTGTATATTTATCTTATATTAAAAGAAATTCAACTAAGATTTGGACATTTGTTCTTAGCCCAAAATAAGACCCAACAAGATATGGACCCAACCCATTTTTAATTTTAAAGCCCATTACCCCATCTTGAATTTTTCCCTAACCCTAAAAGAGCATTAACCTTCTTCTTCATAAACCTTAGAGACAAAAAAGAGAGGGCAGCCATCACCAGACTACACGACCCCTCCCCCTGTTCCTCGTTTTCTTCTTCAACATCAGATGAGCAACTTGAACGACAAATGGACACCACCCAGACCTTCTTCTTCAACCGAACAGACCCAAGAG